AAGCTTAATAAATGTGGGTCAGACCTTAAGCGGTACCTTGGCATGTGGTCTTGGAAAATTAAGACGTACAATACAATATTATACTCGTACTAACCTGACGGGCTGGATGACGTAGTAGCGTGGGCAGGCCTCCTACTAGGTGGGCCGACGATCTGGTAAAGGTCGTGGGAAAAGCCTGGATGCGGGCGGCGCAGGACCGTTCATTGTGGAAATCTTGGGGGAGGCCTTTGTCCAGCAGTGGACGTCATTTGGCTGACGTGATCGTCTGTGTCCCCAGATCAGTGTGCCTACCATGAGTTTACGTTAGGTGTGCTCGCTAGCGACTGCGTAAAAAAATGACATTTAAATGTATGACATATTGTGCAGCGCCCCTAGTGGCTACTTTCAAGAAATAAGACCTTCATAGAATTTTTTGACGTATTCGCTAGCGAACTCACCTAACGTAAACTCATGGTAGGCACACAGAACTATGTCACTATCAAGTATCATGGGCTCCTTAGCCCTCGTAACAAACAAGCAGGAAGACAGAGTTCCTTCAGAGGTGTAGATTATGCAAATTCATTCATAAAAAGATTCCATTGGCTCTTACGTAGGCTTAAGAATATTAATATCCTATCCAGAAACTGCTTTCCACTTAACGCTATAATCGTGGTCTGCTTAGGTCGGTTATCCACTTAAGCTTTAGACTACAGACAAAGATTTTTATTAGAACTAGACTGTTTAGAATTAGAAAATAAATTCTATACTATGCGGAATTGCGGATGTTATATTTTATACCTAAAATAATGTAAAATTACGATTACATAATGCGAGTATTTCGTTTTATCATCCGTCACCTTAAACGAGATGAGTGTTTGTCGATTAGAAATAGACAATTGCAATCATACTGCTAATATTAAGAAGCTCAAAATCTATAGGATTGATTAAAAAAAACTATTAGAATGCCACATAATTTCTGAGTAACATAGTTAGTCTCTTTTAACAAAATTCACCCGGGCAAACCCACAGGCAAAAGCAACATTATTTTGTTGGGTGGTTCTGGACAGCCTGTCTAATTTATAGCGCAGAGAAGTATTTATTGAGAGACATCGCACTGTTTCCGCTGAATATTTAGTGGACGAGCAGCTTTATCTCCACCACGGTGGGCGCCATGAATATTGAATGGAATATTTTTGAGTCGATAGCCGTTTATGCTGATAACCAATCCCAGCCTATTGCTGGAAAAAACTTGTTGCTGAAGATTTTTTGGAAGTTTACTGAAACTTGAAACGTAAGTTGTCGCGTGGTTTACGTATTTAGCTAGCAGTGTCAAGTAATTATTACACAAGAAACCGTATAAATAACATTAAGAATTAATGATTATTCGCTCACCATTTCCTTGAGTTTCAATAATTTTGTATGATACACTGAGACCTAAACCGGACTTTTTGAAAGAATTTAAAGCGATATTGCACTGTTTTGTTTCACTCATGCACGTTCACGTACACTTGGTGGTAAAAAGTCCACCAACAATTTACTTAGATGTTCGACTAAACGACATAATCCATTATTTTAAATATTTAAATAAAAGTGCCAAACATGACGTTTCATTTTCCAACTAAAAAGTTCAGATTATATCAAATCGAAGCAACAATTATTTGAATTTGGAACGCCAGACGCATCTCGCCACTTGCCGTTCGAAATTTAAATTATGCAGCCTAACGTGGTGAAGACGCGCGAACCCAATCCGCGAGAGCCATAAAAGAAAAAAAAAATTACGCGCGCCTACCATAGACTTTTTTCTTTTGACAATTAAAATTATTGACAGTCAGTGCGCGACCTTTTTGATTGTGAACACGTTTTGTGTTTAATTAACTGTATTTTTATAATTGTTTTGTGATATTATGACTCTTGATAACAATAGATTTTTGTGTAAGTGAAAGTGTAGTGTTAATAGTGAAAGAAGATTATTCCAAATAGTGCGTCAATACAATACACAAAGATTTTGGGGTGCCGTCGAGGGTAAGTGTTTTCTTTAATTTACTTTGAGTTACGAGTACTGCTATTATTTTAACAGCATTTAACACCCACAAGCTATCTAGCGAAACAAAGAATGTAGAATTTTATGGCAGAGGTATGATTTTCAACAACAAAAAATATTAATAGTAAACAACTACCTACCTAAACAGAACAATTAATATGGATTGTACCTGCTTATGCTATTTTTGTATTATTAAAATCTTTGATTAGGGTTTCGTTGATTAGGGATTCGTTTAATGTTCATTGTATTGTTCTTTTTAAGTTTAAGTTTTTGAAACAGGGACTCGCACTATAAAGTTATCTGTGACAAGCAAATTTTCACGCGGACGAAGCCCTAGCCAAAAGCTAGTTTTGTAATAAGTTCAAAAGTATTGTAAGAATCTATGTACTTGCTTGTTTACTTTGTGTACTATCCAATAGTTACAATAACAATGTGTAAGTGCAATGAACGATATCCAAGCTATTTTCTTCCCAAGAAAGCCTTAGAGAGCCTTATCGGGATGTATCAAAGACGGCCCGGACAATAGTCGTAATGGTGGCCTACTAGAACTAGTAAACTAGTTAGAGCTAGAACGAACTAGTCGAAGTGTTTTGCTACGTGGCTCCCCGGGAATCCGGGATTGCGGGAGTTTTATTGATACCATCATATTGTTGGAGATAAGTCAAGGAGAACTGTTAGAATAGGCGAGGGCGAGGGTGAGGGTTTAACGTGAATCGGTGTACGAAATCGTTGTTGTCACTTACANATCTTACAAGTTACAAATACCTACCTACACTACAACAATGATAATGATTAAATACGATTTTCATATTTGAAAAATTACTCGGCTTTCGTTGAGGGTACTAAACACTAGGCATAATTTAGCAATACCATGTTTGCCAAGAGCGCTCTAATGTTTTATAGCACAAAATTAAATAAAAGGTTACGATACGTTGATATTTTATTAGTCATGAAATATTGACAGTTAAGAGCGTTGTAGCAAAAAGTTGGCGTTCGAATTTTAGGTTTTTATTGCTTGACGTCGCGTAGTGAGTGCGCAAACTGCATNCACTTACAAGTTACAAATACATTACAATAAATACGGTTCTCATATTTGAAAAATTACTCGGCTTTCTTTGAGGGTACTAAACACTAAGCATAATTTAGGAATACCATGTTTGTGAAGAGCGCTCTAATGTTTTTATTGCACAAAAATAGGTTGCGTGTCAGTACGTTGATATTTTTTTAACCATGAAATATTGACAGTTAAACAATTGAAATATTCCTGTACTCACAAAGACATATTAGATGTGGAAATGTGTTTATAGCATGAAAGTTTTTGTTTGTTTTTGCAAACGAATGTTGACAACACAACCTTATTTCAATTGTAATAAAGACTAAATTTTAAATTGTAAACCTTATTGTAACACGTCTCAGTTGCGAACTTTTTGACTCCTTTCGGTGTCATGAACTATTTGACTCTGACTTTACTACACTCGGCATCAAATAAATCGCTCCTCCCGCCACAAGCACTTATCAAACATATGCATCCCCACTTCCCACCAACATTGGTACCATTTGAAAGCCTAGTTCTAAACTTCATTTCATTAAAGGAAAGGTTTTTACCCCAGAAATACCAATGCCAGATAGATATCGTATCTAAACTGGTTGAGTGATTTCACATTATTGCAGTCACATCCATCTTCAGCATTATGTTTCACAGCTTCATTCTNTTATTTAAGTTTCGGAAAAAAAAAGTTTCGGTATTAAAAATAATTTTGTGTAAAAAAATTTTAGCCTTAAAATTTGTGTGCCATTGACAATTAGGCGTACAAAAAATTTGGCGATTCGATAGAGACCCCGCGTTATCAGATGATGCAATACCCTCCCCTCGCACCGCATGTCCAAGCGTATTCATTGAAATCTTATAATATTACATTTCCGATTGCTGTTTAGGAAATGTGTGAATTTCCTAGGAAATGTTTCCAATATAATTTACATCACACATTTCCGGGTGATTTTAGGAATAATACACAATTCCTAGGAATTGTATACAATGACGGATTTCATACATTTCCTGTAACATATATATATTTTTATTGCAGTTATACGTATTAAGTAGGCAATATGAGATGCATCATAAATAGTATTTTTATTAATTTTGAAAAAAACGATCGATCGATTTTAATAGCGTTTTACAATCAAAAGCTATGCCAGATATCTTGGCGGCTCCTTTGCGAGACCTTAGTTGTTTCAACCACATGATGTAGAATAAAAAAGGGAATCTTAATCTAACTTGGTGGAACATCAAATCCGGGATTGATCGCCTAGCGCTAGGCAATCCACTTGTCACTACTGCGCCAAACACTGCGCTAGGGCTCAGTATAAAGTATCCTCGTGTAATGTTTAAAACTCTAGTCGAAAAGATGCTTAAACGGATTAAATATGATAATTATTATGTTTCACAGATTCATTCTTTGCGATTTATACATTTATTGGTTTACATATTGTNTAATACCTTATTTTCCTTTTTGGCTGTGTGTGTACAATGTAGGTACATTTCAGTAAATCTATCTATATATAAAAATGAATTGATGTTCGTTAGTCTGATTAAAACTCGAGAACGGCTGGGCCGATTGAGCTGATTTTGGTTTTAAAATGTTTGTCGTAGTCCAGGGTAGGTCTAAACGGTGAGCAAATACACGCGCGATATTGTTTTTCTGTGACAGAAGCCGCGGGCGGAAAGCTAGTAAGTAATATTTCTTCCAAAGAGTTTTATTTATAGCTTTTCTCTTCTGATGAGCTATGAGAACTGAAGTCACTTTATGAGCACAGGTGTCTGTCAAACAATATTATGCTCAATCGAAGAGACAGCTTAGTCGGGTATACTGGCAAGAATCACACAAATATAATAACCATTTTCTGTATCCCAACTAATCGAATTCAAACCCGGGATTCCCGGACAAATTAAGAGTCTTTGACAAATTAAATCATAATTATGTTTCACAGCTTCATTCTTTGCGATTTATACATTTATTGGTTTACATATTGTAGTAGCGCCCCCAAGCACTAGCCTTCCACGCATTTTTTAAAGTTATTTTTATTTTTTAAGTCGATTTAATAAAATTCAATTTGATTGAATCGAGTTTAAAAAATGGCAACACTTAAGTGACGTATTTCCGAGTACCCCCACTACGTAGCTCGCTTTAGCCGGCGGCCATTTGCTGCGAGTCATTCTGCGTTCTCGTGCTCAAGCCTTCGCACGTACATTCGGAGCTCTACGCTTTCAACATGGGAAATAAGAGGAAATATAATTCTGAAGAAGAAATACGGCGTAAAATACAAAAATTGGAGAAGAAGCTACAAAAGACTCGTGAACATGTCCAAATATCGGACGAAGAACCCAACCGTAAGTAAAAAATATTATTTTATATTTTTGGTGATCCAATAGTGATACGTGATGCCAACTCTGGGCTCCCACTGTCACGCTTATTGAATCAACCTATTGGCCATAGAGCGATACGTGCTGCTAACTTTGGGCTGCCACTGTCGCGTCTGCTAAATCAATGTGATACGTGCTGCCTTTTTTGNATGCTCATAAATAAGAGGAAATATAATTCTGAAGAAGAAATACGGCGTAAAATACAAAAATTGGAGAAGAAGCTACAAAAGACTCGTGAACATGTCCAAATATCGGACGAAGAACCCAACCGTAAGTAAAAATTATTTTTTTATATTTTTGGTGATCCAATAGTGATACGTGATGCCAACTCTGGGCTCCCACTGTCACGCTTATTGAATCAACCTATTGGCCATAGAGCGATACGTGCTGCTAACTTTGGGCTGCCACTGTCGCGTCTGCTAAGGCCCAGTTTTTTTATTCGTAGTTAAAATAACCAATAGTCAAATTTGACAGATGTCAAATGACAAGTGGTTAAATAACACAAAAAAATGTTTTTCGAACAATGGTTAGCTTCACTTTTAGTACATTTTTTAACTATTAGTTTAAATTTTGTTAATATTTAACCATTAGTAGCAAAATTTAACAATTAGTTATTTTAACCATGAATCAAAAAACTGGGCCTAAATCNCTAAATCAATGTGATACGTGCTGCCTTTTTTGGGCTAACACTGCCACGAGTATTGATAAATTTGGCCCTCCAAAAATGTGCTATTCTCTCGAAAGTATGCGACACGTCTAAAAACCAAACTCTTTGGTTGTTTCAGTCGACGCCATCGTCGAGGAAGATGTCGGCAGTGCTGTAATAAGCTTACAGGATGAAAACCATCCTGAATCACTGTGGCCTGAGTCACCGTGCCCAGTATCACCGGCACGACTTGACTCCCCGGAGCGTGCCGCACCGGGCCTAATATCACCCTCCAAATCTATACCTGGACCCTCTTCGCCAAAAGAGACGCAAGAAGTCGTGCCATCCGAGTCTGTAAGCCCTACCGAAGCGGTTTTAGACGATGATATTTTGCAACTGTTGGGTGACGCTCCTAAGGCGGAAGCCACTCTCGGTCCGGCTATCCACAAAGACGTCGCCAACAGGTGGCAAGAAATCCTAGCAAAGGGTCTTCAAAAAGATGTTAAGGACCAAATTATGCAGCAATATTCGGTACCAAATAATTGCGATTTATTAGTGGCACCTACGTTAAATCCTGAGGTTAAGGCCGCTATTCGAGATGTTATGGTGAAACGAGATTCGGCACTAATGTACCAACAAAAACAGCTTGCAGTAGCTATTTCTGCTTTAGGCACAGCTGTAGACTCAATTCTTTCGAATGAAACATCCAAACAAAAGATTTTAAAGCCAATAAGTGATGCGTGCCGCATTTTATGTGACATACATTTCCACGAGACTAAGACTCGTAGGCATTTCGTTATTACTTCGATTAATACTGAACTGAAGGATTCATTGGTTAACACCGTTAGAAACGATCAACTTTTTGGTGACAATATTACGGAAAAAATTAAAACTGCAAAATCCATCCAAAAATCTGGAGAGGCATTGAAAACCGTACCAAAACCTACATATAAAAATCCAGCTAACAAACCAAGTACAAGTAAGACTAATAATTTAAACTACAAACCGCAGCAACGGAAGGCCGACAACAAGACAACCGCCGCTGCTGCGAGAGGTCGACCGGCCTACCGCACGACGCGCCCGGGCCCCAGCGACTCGTACCGGCCTCCGCACCGCTCGCCGCCTCATCAGCCGCCGCCGCCGTCGTCGAGGAGGACTCATCGCACCTAGATCACGAGGTACTGTACGCTGGCAGACTCAAATACTTTTTACATGAGTGGTCACATATCACGAATGACCCCACTATTTTATCGTGGATAAATGGATATAAGATACCATTTTCCTCAATGCCAATCTGTACTAATAACCCTAGTGTTTATCCTCGCTCGGATAGTGAAAATAAAGATTTTAACGAATCTATTAACCATTTATTAAAAATTAATGCCATATCTATATGCAATCCTGTTAAAGGACAATTTTTGTCTAGTGTCTTCCTAGTGCCAAAACCGAAGGGTAGTAAACGATTCATTCTTAATTTAAAGTGCTTAAATAAATTCATAAAAACACAGCACTTTAAGATGGAGGACTATCGTACCGCATCAAAACTTATTACTGAAAATTGTTTCATGGCATCAATAGATCTAAAAGACGCGTACTTTTTTATTCAGATTCATGAGTCTCATAAAAAATATCTTCGTTTTAAATATAACGACATTATGTACGAGTTTAATTGCTTACCTTTCGGTTTAAGCACGGCACCTTATGTTTTCACAAAGTTGATGAAACCAGTCTTAGAATTTTTGAGGTCACGTGGGATGCTTTCTGTTATGTATCTAGATGATATGCTTTGTATCGGACAGGATTATTTTGAATGTAAAAATAATGTTAGACAAACCAAAGCCCTTTTAGAGAGCTTAGGGTTTATGCTAAACACTGAAAAAAGTTGTTTGGTTCCTAAAAAAGTCACAAAATTTTTGGGATTCATTTTTAATTCTGAAGAAATGACTTTAACTTTACCTGAAGCTAAGAAAATTAAAATAAAAGACACACTTTTAACATTCAAAAATACCCGTAAATGTAAATTACGTGAGTTCGCGAGGATAATAGGTTTATTAATATCATCTTGCCCGGCTATACAATATTCCTGGTTATACACCAAACTATTTGAACGCCATAAGTTTTTATGTTTACTTAAAAACCCAAGTTATGAGCAATTTATACATATTCCATGTTCATTACAAAAGGATATAAATTGGTGGTTAGATCATATAGACTTTGGATATTTTTCACTTAAGGTCAATCAATATAAACTTGAAATTTTCTCTGACGCCTCTACTACTGGTTGGGGCGCTTACTGTTGTGGACAAAAGAGCTATGGTTATTGGAAGGATGATGAAAAATCTTTACATATTAACGAATTGGAACTGAAATCTGCTTTTCTAGCACTTAAATGTTTCGCTAAAGAGATGTTTGACTGTAATATTTTACTTCGTATAGATAATGTAACTGCTATATCCTGTATTAATCGTATGGGTAGTGTTCAATATAATCACTTAAATAAACTCTCAAGGCAACTTTGGGAATGGTGTGAAGAGCGTCGAATAATTGTTTTCGCTTCCTACATAAACACTAAAGAAAATAATGATGCGGATTCACTTTCACGGAAAAAGTTTCAGGACACTGAGTGGGAGTTAAACGAATATGCTTATAAAGATATAATTAAAAAATTTGAATTGCCCGAGGTAGATTTATTTGCTAGTCGATGTAACGCAAAATGTTCAATTTATGTCACATGGAAAACTGACCCTGATGCATGGACTACAGATGCTTTTACCATATCATGGAATGGAATTAGATTCTACGCTTTTCCACCATTCTCACTTATTGTTAAGGTATTACAAAAAATTGTAAATGACAAGGCAGAAGGCATCGTAGTAGTGCCATATTGGCCAACACAACCATGGTTCCCTCTTTTTCAAAAATTAGTCATTTCTGATGTTATGTATTTTGAGCCCAATATTAATTTATTGCAATCTCCTTTCAGGCTGCATCACAGTCTTCACAAGACGTTACGCTTAGCTGCCGCGAAGTTGTCAGGCAAGCTCTACTAAAAAGATTCTTATCTCCAAGATCAGTCGAAATTATGTTAGCCTCCTTATCAGACAATACATATAAACAATATAACGGCTGTATCAGAGCCTGGATTACCTATTGTGCGATCTATAATTATGATTATATGAAAGTTTCCGTCCCTATAATCATTCATTTTCTCACGAGTATTTTCGATAAAGGGGCTAAATATGGTACTATAAATTCTTATAAATCCGCCTTGTCATTATTGTTAGGTAAAGAATTATTAGATGATGACCGTATAAAACGGTTTATAAAAGGTGTTTTCAGATTGAGACCCACGGTACCAAAGTATAACATGACTTGGAACCCTAACATTGTTTTAAATTATTTGGCAGAAAAGTGGCCTAACGTAGATCTCGATCTGGAAACACTTTCCAAAAAGACCCTGACTTTGTTGGCTTTGGTGACTGCTCACCGTGTCCAAACATTATCTTTGATAAAGTTAAGTAATATCACTACTCAACCATCTATCGATATTACCATTAAAATACCGGATTTAGTAAAAACCTCAAAACCAAATTCATTTCAACCCTTTTTAAGATTGCCCTTTTATAATTCTCGTCCCGAAATTTGTCCCGCTAGATGTTTAGAAGAGTATATTCGTAAAACTCAAACACTTCGCAAAAATGATAATGATCATTTATTCATTAGTTACAAACGTCCATATTCTAAAGTCACATCACAAACTCTAAGTCACTGGATTAAAAATACTCTTCAATGTAGTGGTATTAACACTGATATATTCACTGCACACAGCACTCGTCACGCGGCGACTTCTTCAGCCAACAAATCCGGGGTCAATATAGATGTTATTAGGAAAACTGCAGGTTGGAGTGATTCATCCTCAGTTTTTGCAAAATTTTATAATAAGGAAATTGTCACAAACTCCAATCAGTTTGCTGAATCGATATTAGATGCATGCTTGTAATTCCTGATGATTTTTTCTGTAAAGAAATGTTATTGATTATAGTATAATATAGTATTTCTTTATACATATATTTATGTTACATTATTTTAATGACATAAATAAAAACTTACCTGTTCGTTTCACATTTTATTTTATTTTCATAATAGTTACTCTCTCAACATCCTACAATATGTAAACCAATAAATGTATAAATCGCAAAGAATGAAGCTGTGAAACATAATTGAAGATCAAACGAACTTAACAAGTGAAGTTCGATCATAATTATGTGAACAGCTTCATTCGAAGCGATTTATACACACCCACCCTATCAACTAAACCCTCCCTTAATCTGAAACTAAAAATTAAAATATGAAACGATTTAGCTGTAAACAAAATGACTCGCAGCAAATGGCCGCCGGCTAAAGCGAGCTACGTAGTGGGGGTACTCGGAAATACGTCACTTAAGTGTTGCCATTTTTTAAACTCGATTCAATCAAATTGAATTTTATTAAATCGACTTAAAAAATAAAAATAACTTTAAAAAATGCGTGGAAGGCTAGTGCTTGGGGGCGCTACTACAATATGTAAACCAATAAATGTATAAATCGCTTCGAATGAAGCTGTTCACATAATTATGATCGAACTTCACTTGTTAAGTTCGTTTGATCTTCAATTATCATGATGAAATATAACGCATATCAATGATTTGCGAAGTAGCCCTATATTTCGCCGCAGTACAGAGGTCCCCAAACTTTTATAGAGCCACTGCCTTAGGATTGTTTGGAGAAATTATACATTTACGCCTCACGTCGAACAGTTTGTAATGTATTATGCATTTTTATGAAATAAAGAGTAGGTAGATAGGTATATTTCCATTTTTAGAAACTACCTACTTCGTTTTTAAATCATTAGTGCGATTAGTATCAAAGCTCATGAGTGTGCTGCAGGTACTATCGTCTTCGAAGGTATCCAAACATCCTATTGTGGGTATTAGATTATTCTGAGCTGAGCACGGCCCACCCTTCTATATACGCCTATGCCCCTAGCTAGGGGTTGATACAGAGGCAACTTTGGGCATCATCGCCGAAGATCGAAAGAAGATCATTTCTGTCAGAGCGCAGCAGGCGAGTCGGTATCGCTAGTGTTAAATTATGTCTTTATCGACGAAGCGGCGGCCATGATAATAATTTCTCCCTATAAGATCGTCTGTATTACGTTTACTTTATATAACATCTTGTCGATATCGAAACTGTGCGAAATTTGGCGAATTCGGTCGATCGTTCAGTTATAAAATGACGGTTTCAAAACTCAAATCGGCAATACGTTTATTTATATTACTGAAGTGTTTACTTACTCGGTTTTTAGTGCGTAGTAAATGCACTGACACTTAGGTAGTCCATAAAAATAAGTGTTATTGGTCATTCTTAAAGTAACTGTTTGAAACTTACGATGCTAGTCCGAATCCGGAATGCGAAAATTTTCTCATAAACTCTCGATAGTAATTTACTGAAAAGGTGATAACTTTTGTAAGACTTGTTTAATTGAATAGGTAAGTACATAACTGAACCGTGAAATCACCTATTAAGTCCTTACTAAACATAATCCTCCAGTGCTGGATGGATTACAGTCCCCCGATCAATGTTCACACGTTGACAGTAATTCTAGTGCTCTTAGTCCTGACGATAAATCTTCTCATCCGAACACCCTGCAATTTATCAGTTAATTAGTTGAAATTTATGTTGCCCCCCGAGACAAAGGTCGGTTAAAAATAACCGCGTGCTTTTATTTTCGTCACATCGAGTAATGATTCATGCGTCAACCGCGAATTAATCATTCGGTAACCACTCGCTTTATTGGAGCTTGTTTATATCGTTGGAAACAACGGGACCAGTGTTTAAATGCCGATCTACAATTTTCGCTGGACATTTGTCATTTATGGCGTTTAACATTGGTTTAATTAAGTGTTCGGGGAGCGAATGATAATGTTGGGCAAACGTTGGTACCAATCATGTGACCCCATCTCTGTTGCATTCGAGTTTATTAACTGTGCGCCCGCGCCGCCCTCCCGGCTGAACTTTGTACAAGCTTTGTGACACGCTGCAACGGTGTAGCCATGTCGCTGTAATGTAAATGCATAGATTACTTACGTTGCGAAAGAGTTATCAAATCACATTATGGTTCTCAATCCTAGCTAACAAAACTATTGTATTTTTTTAATTTTTCGAATCGGCTCTCCGAATTCTTCATCACCAAAATAAGTCCTATAGCACAAATAGAAACTGGCAACATTAAAAAAAACCAACTAACCAATCTTTTGATTGCAAAATATCTTATTGTAGATTATCTGACATTTACCTAGTTACTTAGCAGGTATAATTTAAAAAAATGCTGAATCTCTTTGACCCACTCTTTGGCGTGGGCCATATCCTCTTATGTAGCGATTGTTTACTGCTTATTTACCGGAAGTCAAAATATTATCTATTGATGGCCACTAACAAACAACAGGTGCAGAATTGTAAGTTGCCCACCTTCAACCGTAGCTGCGTGGGAGATGATTGATCGGCGAATCGTGCCTCGGAATCTAGAGAAACGTACTTACACCATTGTTTTCCTTATATAACTCTTTTCACGAGCTATCACGTCAAATATAAAATCCATTTTTCAATAGTGAAGCAATCGTTACACATCAGCACACTATTCTCGAACATTGTTCGTCTGAATGAACGAGAAGCCATTATAATAGTTAGGCACCATTGAAGGTGTTTAGTAACTGAGGTTAAAGATGAAGAGATATGGATCGTTTAATAGGCAAGTGTGAACAGTGTTGCCATTGTTGAGCCTATTAACAAACGAGTTTTGACACGCGAGTGTAGTATTTGCGAAACGCTCGGCTCACGACTAAATAAATAAATATTTAACGTTGCTCAACAGTTTGATAAGTAATTTAATTAGAACGCGTTTAATTGAACATTGAAATAATACTGAGACTAGAGGTGTCCGAGAGCTGTCGTAACAAATTAATCAAGTATTTTGTCTGTCCGTTAACGAGCAGATTTACGGCTGCAAGTAAACTAATTTGTATGGCATTGTTGTGAAAAGCATTTAACAAAGGCAGTAACTTTCGATACAAAGACACGTCGTTTCTTCGCACTACAATTGAAACAGCATTCATGTTTTTAGTGTTTCGTTTGCGGACAGGTTACGACTGCAATTTCAGGGTGATTTGTGATACTGCCTCCTATAAATATGTGTTTTAAGTATTTTAAAATCAGTGTGACAATGTTTCTGAACTCTACTGAATAAGGATCTGAAGGTTGTATTAACAGTAACATTTCGATTAGGTACTAATTAACTAATAAACCACTGCCTGGCAGGTAGGCAATGTTTTTTGGAATTATTATTGGCATTATGAAATATATTTGAGGTTTGTAAATCTCGGATCTATGTGGTGAATTGCATTAACACTGCAAACGCTTATTTCTAGGAAGCGCTGGTCACTTTGGTCAGTAACGACCAATTTGCGGAGCCGCCACACTTTTTTTTCAACCTTCCTTAATGAGTAAAGAAACGCGCACCGCTCTATCTTCTATGCAAATGTATTTTCATATTCGAAAGTCAACAACAAGATAATATTTAGGTACTTACATGTAACACGATTTGCCCATGACTTTGCTTGTGTATCTCTTCGAACCTTATCTTCGAACTCCTCCTATGTTCTGGTGATTAATTTCTTTGTGGATCCAATGACAGTTTAACTTTTCCCTGGGACAAACTTGACCTTCACTGGTTGGGTTTTTATTGGCGGTCAAGCTGTAGATCCTGGTAGACCTCTGTGTAGAGTTGCAGTAGTGGGAACAAGAGGTAGGAATAGTTCCATTGTCTCTCGTCTCAATCATCGGTGTTCAAAGTCTCCAAGAAAATTAATTAAAATTGTTAAAACAGTTTAGGAGTAAATAGCATTAGATTATGACACCAATATCCTTAACTCTACATTAATGCCTATGAAGACCTCCCATGGCGAGTACTTGCTTCGGGTAGGTTGTGTCTATTGCCAATTTTACGATTATTTTATCAATTATACCATGCTGTCATTATAGCTAAATTGTTTACGATTATGAATTTTATCTTAGTACTTAATATCCTTAGTTAAGACGCGAGAA